AAGCTAAAGCAGTCCCACAATCAGGGGCGGTCCTAGACTAGCTGCCAGCAACTGGCACCCTAGGCGAACCATGCAATCGGCACCCCCACCCCCAAACCCCAAGGTCAGATCTAGGCCAAGAGTTTTGGTAAACTGGGAAACATTTTGCCCCTTTTTTCCTTTTAATGTTTTTTAAGCGTTTTTTTTTTAAACAGAGGCTTAATTATTCGGTTTGTCCATCCGTCTGTCTGTCCAACCACGGAACAGACCGTGCACGGGAATTGAAATAATGACATCTTCGTTATTTTATTTGTATTTTTTTCATCTTTTTAATTTTTTTTATTTGATTTTTTCCCTCAAATTTGGTGCCCCATTTAACTTGGCACCCTAGGCGACCGCCTAGTTTGCCTATATGGACGGGCCGCCCCTGCCCACAATGAATGAAGAACTCTCTATTGCTCAAAGCCTGCTCTTTGCTGCACTGCAGGAGCAGGGCTAAAAACCAGAGATTGTGTCTTTTATATGTGTTGGGAGGCCACTTGCATATTGAACCATCCGTTATTTAAGAGATGCTGGTCAAAGTTGGTGGGACCAAAATTTGGTTACATTGTATTGCTTGTGTTGACTTGTTATGTCCATGTAATTCTTTCTTTTGTTTGGAACTGAGTATTTTTTATATATTATGATAAAAAGCTACATTAAAAAGCAAAGATTGAATATGGGGTTTCCAAAAACAAATTTGCTCATAAGAAATGAATCATTAGGAGTTGGGGGAAAAGTAATCACTAGAAATGATATTTTATTAATATGCAGAGATAGAAAAGTATAGGAAGCAATGAAATTTTCCCCAACACCTGCACTCTCTGTTTTTAATTTGACTGCTGCTACAAACATTTTTTTCCAGAGAGAAATTTCTTCTCATTCTGTTAACTGTAACTTTGAAGCCTTCAAGTCATCAGCAACTTTACTGTATTTTCATTTCCTTCTGAGAGTTGAGAAGTTATCTTTCACATGTTTTTGTGACCAGTATTCAAATGTGCTTTGCTTCCTTGTTCACCAACCAATAAGTTATATTCAAAACATGTATTCATATGTTTTGATGTGCATACTTTTCTTATTACCAGTATCCTGTAAAATAAATATTTCCTGCTAAGAACAATACATGGCTTTAAAGCCAAATAGATCATCAGACTGAAACTACTTTGTTGATGAATTCACAGTCAGTCATGTTGTTGCACTGGTGAGGAATGCAATTTTCAATGTATAAACTATGACAGGTTTCAGAGTAGCAGCCGTGTTAGTCTGTATCCGCAAAAAGAAGAACAGGAGTACTTGTGGCACCTTAGAGACTAATAAATTTATTA